GTGCCACTTTTATGTTGTTTTTCACTGTATATGCCATAACATCACATCTCCAGGGCAAAACTCTACTCCGTCCTCCTAGGACTTCTACTCTCCCCCACCAAGGATGAGAGAAGCCGCCCTCTAATGGGGCTGTCAACAGGCCCTCCTAGTCAACGTTTCCTCTTGCATCATCGTCTCCCTCGTCCTTTGTACAGACAAGTTTAGTCTTTTTCATAAATTTCCTTCGAAATTTCTAGTTTCTATAATGAAAAAACCCAGAAACATTTGCAACAATTTCAATTTATTGACCATCCCTAACCTCTCAATTCAAATTCCTAAATCTAAATTTTACTCTATGAAAAGAAAATGTCACCTAATTGAGACTTTACTCTTTTACATTACTGTTATTATTAAGTCACTTTATCTAATAAGAGATAAATTTATCTAATTTATAAATTTAATAAAACTTAAAATTTTAAAAGATTTGTCTAATATTTACGCATAATATACAGATCAAAGATGTATTAAATATATTTTTTATTAAAAATTTATGTTAAAAAAATTAATATTAATTTATTAATTATTTAATTAAATTTACCTAATATTAAAATTAATATTAAATATTATATTTTTTTATACTTATTTATTATAAAAAATACTTTTAAGACATAAATTAAAAAAATTCATTCTAAAATAACCAAACTCAACAAATTCAAGATCACACTTGCGGGCTTTAGCTGGCTTGATTAAGATGCATAATACTCATGATTAATATCAAAATTTTATCTACTGTAATAACAATTAAATTATCTCTTTCTCTTTAAAAATTCCCCATATTCTAAAAAAAAAAAAAAACCAAATTCAACATCTGAAGTGGCGCAACTAAAACCCTGCCGAACCCCTACTCATTTACGGGGTCAACTAAATTTTGAACAAAATGGTAGTAATTCGTTAATTAATCATTATCATTACAAGCACGATCACTTATTTTCTTGTGATTTAACTCAAATAAAACATTGCAGAAAAACGACAAAGTTGAAGTCTACGTAGGACCCACACAAAGCCAATAACCATCCGCTCTTAATCCCATCTTAACCGCAAATCAGTTTCCCTTGAACTGAACAGCCATCATTTTGAATTTCAAATTTTGAATTAACGAGCGTTTTTTAACCCTTCAAGGGAGGCGCGTGGGCCATCGTCAACCCCGCTCCTGGGTCCCGCATGAGTTGGCCGTTTAAAGAAAACAGTGCAAGTAATAATTATAAAATAAACTCTCAACCAATTAAACCATTACACGTCACTCAATACAGTGGACACAACGGCAGAGAATCAAAGACAAATACACGTGTCAAAGGTGGATTGGAATATTAACTTTCTCCTTTCCCCTTTTTTTTTTTTGAAGTTTTCCGTTCCTTAAGTTTCCCGCCCAAAAGACAAGCGTCAAAAAAAAGCAGTAGATTTTTCCTTTTATAAAATCCAAACACACGGTCTGTTTCTTGTGAGTACGAACTCAGCATTTTCTTTTTCAGTTTCTGTTTCAGCGTTCTCAAAAGAAGAAAGAAAGAAAAAAAGAAAAAAAGAAAAAAAACTCAAACGCAACACATTCATGGACGAGGCTGCCAAGGATCAGATTCCTGCGCCTGGTATTGATCTGTTCTATCCATCAAATTTTTTTACAAGGAAAGAAAATTGAACGGAGATAGATGGTGGTTT